GTGGGCACTGGGTTTCCTCCATATGTTTCTGCATTTGATTCTTTAGTGCAGATGTTATTAATTCAGGGATTTCTTTTTTTATTTCCAATCTGAGGTCCTCTATACCTTTCTGCAGCTGTTTCTTTATTTCAGAAGCTGTTGATTCATTGCTTTCAGCTGTGTTTTCCAATTCATTCTGTATTAGTGTGCTTTGCACTTGTTATGGATGGGCTTGGGTTCTGAGGTTGCATTTTGTTCCTTCTCGTCATTTTTTTAGCATTGTCTTCTGAACTTTGTTGTAGATCTTTGCTGTAGTTATAACCTTCGCACATACTGAAGTTCAGGTGCAGCTCTACAAAATTTGGACTTATCCAGCTGTGCCTGGCTTGGGTCTCGCTCCTGTGCTCAGCTCCTTCCCACTGCTGCCCTTGAGGGTGAACCTATTGTGCCCCTGTGTGAAGATGTTCTGCTCCTGGACTAGCTGGGTGGATCTATCCTCTACACTCTCTGCAGGGATTGCAGCTGCAGGGTTACACCCCAAGCATGTATGCCAGGCTTGAGCTGTGCCTGGAGGGGGCAAGGTGGAGTAGGGGGGAGAGGAAGCTCTCCCTCACACTCACTGATTATGGGCTAGGACTTGGTCTGGGGGTTCCCAGAACGCGTCAGAAATTCCTACTTGGCGGGCGGGTGGGGGAGGTGCTGCGGAGTGGTGGGGTTGTCCCAAGTGGGTGGGAGAGGATCTCTCCCACACTGCGCCTGGGCTGGTACTGGTATTTAGTCCGGTCGGCGCAGGGTAGCAGGAAGCTCTCCCACACACTCAGTGGACCTGGGCTAGGACTGGGTCTGGGGGTTCCCAGAATGCGGCAGAAATTTCTACTCAGTGGGCGGCGTGGGGGAGGTGCTGTGGAGTGGTGTGGAGCGTCCCAAGAGGCTGGAGAGGGTCTGGCCCATGCTGCGCCTGGGCTGGGACTCCTCTATCTCCATTATGGATCTTTACCACTAAATTAATTTTATATATTTTCTTTTGCAGGAATTTTACCTCTGATCATGTGCATTAAAACATTTTGAATATATTTAAGCCTTTATAACAACATCCAAGTGATGAAAGAAAACTTTAAACACAGCTTGGAATTAGTTTCATGCAAATCAGATGAGTTAATTAACAGTATAAGTCAACAAGTAGCATTCCATAGTGGGGTATATTTGTGTGGTGTGCTCAGCAGGTCATGGAGTATGGTAATGTAAGAGTAGATTTTTATTAAAAATTTGTGTATAGGCACTGAATCAATTACAGAAAAAAATAATTATGGTTGTCTTGCAAGATTACTGGAGACAGCAGCTTCTGCATTGCTGTAAAGAAACAGAGCCAAAGCCACTAAAAATTGTACCTGGGCAAATCTTCAGGTCTGTCTCACATCAGGCAGAATGGTCATTGTAATAAAATGCTTGGGTAAGCACTGGAGAAAGAAAAATGTGTGTTGCTGGTGGGGTGTATATTAGTACATCCTCTATGGAAAACAAGAAGTTTCTTACTAAAACTCTTAACTATGGTATAATCAAGCTCTATCACTCCGTGTTATTTATCCATAAGAATGGAAGACAGCATGTGATCGAGACAGCATATACCCATATTTATCGTGCTCTTATTCATGACAGCTGAGACTTCAGGTCAGCCTAGATAGCTGTCAGTAGATGAATATGCACACACACACGCATGCATGTGCACAGTCTCACGCACTCATGAGTCCCGGAGTGCAGAGCCTGCCTGACAGAAGAAGTAAACTGCTTTCTGCAGGAGAATGGGTGGGACTAGAAGACATGTCAAGTGAAACAGCCCAAATAAAGAACGAGAACTGTCACATGTATCCTCCTCTCTGTTGAATTATTTTTTTTGTTTTAAACAGAATGAAAAGTTTTTAAAAATTAAAAACAATGCAATTTCAAAATAAAATGATAGGAAGCTAAAATGGTTGTTATTGTATATTGTTATCTTTAAAATCATTAAGATTACCAGATACAGGCATACAAAATTGTTAAAAAAATTAGCATTAACTGTTTCCCTCAATAAGCCAACAGAAATTAGTAATACAGTTATTTTAGCTGTGTGTATGTGTATGTGTGTCCCTACTTTTCTCCTTCCCCTCATCCCTTGGGTAAGAAACTGAAAGAGTAAATAAAATTCCAAAGCTACAATAGATATTGTGAAAGGGAAAGAAACTACTCTATGTAGAAATTTTAAAGAAGGAAAGTAGAAGAGCAATTTGGAGGCATTCAGCAAAAATGGGGTGGAGGGTGAGAGGAGGAGAAGGGAGTGTGGACACAGATAGAGTACTGAATGTGCAAGCAGGGAGACACCTCTGTGGAACTCATCAGTTTGTATAATTAATATATGCTAATTACATTAATTTTAAAAGGAAAATATTGTAAATGGAAAACTATCCAGTTATATATAAAAGCATGAAGCTCTGTCACAACAACATAGAACTGAAGATCATTGTGGTGGGTGAAATAAATGAGGCGCAAAAGCACAGGCACTGTCTTCTCACTTCCATATGGAAACATAGGAGATTGGTCTCTCAGTCACTGAGAGAACGGTGGCAGTCAGAGGATGGGGGCAGGAGCAGGAAGGGAGGTGCAGATTTGGTGCCTGGGAGCAGAGTTACAGTTAGACAGAAGCAGAGTTGTGCCATCTCACAAAATGATGACCAAAGGTAAGCAGAGTGGAGTGAGCATGTGGCAAGCTAGAAACCTAGGTTTTAGAAAGTATTACCATATAGAACATTCAGGCATGTACAGGCATTGTATTGTCTCCCTAGTGTGAGAACCTGAAAGAGAAAATGAAATCTGAAGGCTACAATAGATAATGGGAAAAGGGAATCAACTTTTTCAAAAGGAAAGAGTTACTGAGTTGAGGAAAAGGACAGGAGAGGAAGTGGGGCACAGAGATCTATCTGTATGAAAATAGGATGGTTTGGACAAGTGTACTTTGCATTTCTGCTGGGCTATGGAAAGGAGTAGATAATGCTTTTTTGTTGTTGTTGTTGGAACCAGGGGTTGAACTCAGGCCCATGTGCTTGCCAGGCAAGTGCTTATTCTACTGAGCCATCTCCCCAGCCCCAGGAGTAGATAATGCTTAATTTGTTTTGTCTCCTTTTTTCAGTGTTTTCTCCTTTTTCTCTTCTTAATTTCTTAAATATTTCTTTTTTTTTCTTTTCTTCCAATTTTGCATGCATATATCTAATAATATGAATCACTGGTTGGAAGACAACACTATGTATTACAAAAATACTGTCAAATTCATATTATGCTGTATCACTTATAATTTTTCTTTTAATACTGTTTTGTACTCTGTATGTACAAAATAAAAAAATTCAGTTATCTGAAGAAAAATGCTTAATTTGATTTAAATATTATACAATATAGACATGACAGGATACTATATTAATATGCAGTTTTTATATATCTTAAACAGAATTTTTAAAAAGGTACATTAGAAAGTTGCTTTTGTTCTGTCCTGTTCTTTTCTTGTAATATTGGGGATTGAACCCAGGATCTCCACACCAAGCTGTGTCACCAGCCCTTTTTAGTTTTAGACGTGAGTCTCACTCATGTTACCTTGACTAACATCTGATTGCTTTTTTGTGATTTGTTCAGTATTTCTTACTAAGACTTTATTCTTTTGAGGTAAAAATTAAACAATAAAATAGAGACACTCTACTCATTTTCTGGAATGATAAATACTTCTTATCTAAATACTCTAAATGTCACTCTCAATCAGTATTTCCTGGTCTACAAACTATAAATAAGTATTTATATATATTTTATACATGTGTATAAATATATATTTATATAATATAAATTTATATGTATAAGCATAAATATGCTTTTATAATATATATATTTCCCTGTTTCATCCAACTAGTTTATTAGGCTTTTGTCCAAGTCATTTATTTTCTGAGTACTTGTTGTATAATCAACAATATGCTGAATACTCTTGTATTTCTGCTAGAATGGTCAGAACCGATTTTTTTAAATAGTGTATTGATGCATATAATTGCGCCTCAATTATTTCCAGAAACTGTTACATGTGATGAAGAAATCAAACTTTTTTAGATTGACTGAATTTGATTAGCCTATCTAATTGCGTTCAATGTATCCTAGAGTTGAAAGTTGCAATGCCCCAACTATCAGATCGTAGAACCACCAAAACCCAAAATATCCACAGGGGGAAAAAAATGAAAGAAAAAAGAGGGAGCCTTTTGGGAAGGCCTCCTTAGTAGTCTCAAGATGTGCTTTTCCTCTGTGCGTTTGACTAATTCTTGACTGAGAAACATACTTGGAAGTCTAAACCCAAGTGACGAATAAATGAAAGTGGAGGAATTCCAAAGAAATGCTAATGACCAAGAACACCAGAGGACATTAGATCTTTGCTGACAGGGAAGAGACTTACTGAAGTCCTGAGAGGAAGAAGGAAAAGATAGATACTCATCAGTTAAGCTTTGTCGTTCGAGACCCAGTTCTAACCATACCCTAAGTAAAATGCAGAAATCTCACTAAGTGAATCAGCTTTTCGCTGTGTATGTAATTGTTCTGGTAATCTTCAATGAAGCTGGAAACTGTAAAGGCTTTCCTTTGTCTTTTAAAATTTGCATAAATGAACTTGTTTTTTGACATAGCTCTGATTGCCTGTGTAATTTTCGAAGTAGTGTGGAGTAGAGCTAGAAGTGGAGTAGGTAAATGTGGAGGCGAAACATTTCAGTGCTTTTTCTGGTGATCTAGACATTCTCATTGCATTAGAAGAAGGTTCACAGATGACAGATTAAGATAATTAATGTTGAACTGAGCCATTTGTATAAGATGTTCAATTTTTGATTTAATTTAAATTTATTTTCAGCGGATACATCAAAATACACAAATTGTATAAGTAACATGGGTGTTCTGATACACATCTGCATTGCATAGTGTTTAAATATGGTTAAACATATCTGATCATACATCTCTCATTTCTTCATGATGAAAACTTCCAGAATCTTTCCAGTTCAGTGAAATGTACTGTGCATGATTATTTTGCATTGTCACCTACTGAGTAGCTGCACACCAGAAATTCTTAACCCTCATTAGCTATAACTAAAGACAGAGTCATCAACTTTCACCCCTCCCTCTCCTGCTCACAAGTTCCCCAGCCTCTGGTAACCAGTTTCACATTTCAAATCTGTCAGGGCACCTTCCACACTCTATATGTGAGTGACATCATGCAGCACTTAGCGCTCTGTGTTTAGCTTACTTCATTTACCGTAAGGGTCTCTAGTGGCATGCATGTTGTCACGAATGACAGGATTGAATTCTCTTGTCATGGCCAGTGGTGCTACGTCCTGTGTATGCAACATTTTCCTTATTATGTGTATGCAGCATTTTGTTCACCTTTCTCAGCTACTATAATATTGCCAAGAGCTTGGGAGTGTGGTGTTTTTCTTGCATGTCACTTTCACTTCCTTTGGATATTAGGAATATTGCTGGGTCATGTGGTAGTTCTATTCTTGGTTTCCTTTTTTTTTTTTTTTTTTTTTGACAGTGTCATTGTGTTGCTGAAACTTGAACTGAAGAGCCTCCTGTCTCAGCTTGCTAAAAAGCTAGAATTTCAGGTGCATACCACTGTACCTCCGTCCCATTCAATTCCTTTAACAACTTCCATGTTGTTTCCATAATGACTGCTTACATTCTTTTCTTTTCTTTTCTTTGTTTTTGCAGAACCTGGGATTGAACTCAGACCCTTGCACTTGCCAGGGAAGCACTTATCCTGCTGAGCCATCTCCCTGGCCCCTAGTTACATTGTTAACAACAGTGTGCAATAGCGCTCTTTCACCACGTCTTTGCCAGTTCTTGTTATCCCTTGTTTTTAATAATAGCCATGCTTACTCTGGTGAGGAATATAACTCATTGTTGTTTTAATTTGTCTAATGTTCCATGTGGCTGAACATTTTTCCATGTATCTGTTGAGCATTAGTATGTCTGCTTTTAATAAATCTCTACTTAATTTTATTGCTTATTTATTATTCATTCATTCATTTTTGGCATGGAGATTGAGTTCCTTATATAATCTGATTATTGGTCCAATGTCGCAAGTATGGTTTGCACATATTTTTGTCCATGTAATAGGTTGGTATTTCACTCATTTCCTCTGGCAGGCAGACATCTAATGCAGTCCTGTTTGATGCTTTTTACTTTGCTTTTCTTTCCTTTGCCCTTCAAGTCTTGCCCAAGAGAGTCTTCCCATTCCAGTATCCTGCAGCACCTCCTTCAGCTTTCTTCCAGCACTTTCATGATTTCAGTCTTTCTTCCATTTGAGTTGATTTGTATAGCGGGTAAGAGATAAGGATTCAGTTCCGTTTATTCTTGGATGTGTGCACGACGTTTCACGGCACCAGTTGTTAAAACTGTCCTTTCCTTGCTGCATTCTTCCTTGTACTTTTCCCAAAAACCAGTTTATTGGACGTGTGTGGTTTAGCGTCTATAATCTCTTAGGTCGTTTCATTGGCTTCTGTGTCTGGTTTTATGCCAATAGATGCTGCCTTGGTTAGCAGGGCTTTCTGGTAAATGATCAAGTCAGGCAGTTTGATACCTCCAATGCTTTGTGCTCAAGATTGCTTTGGCTGTTTGGGAGCGTGCATGCGCATGTGTGTGTTTATGTGTATGTGTGTGATATTCCATACAAATTATCGGACTTTTTTTCCTATACTATGAAGAATATCACTGGCAATTTGATAGGGATTTCACTAAATCTGTATAACAATTTGGGCAGTATGGCATACTAGCACTAATTATTCTTTGAACTCCTGGATATAGGTATCTGTTCCTTTTTTCTGTTTTTTCTTTTCAGTTTCTTTCATCGATGCCTTATCATTTTAATTGTAGATATTTACCTGATGAATAAATTTGTTTGTAGATTGATTGGAGTTACTATAAATGAGAATTTTAAAATTTCTATTTCAGACAATTTTCTATTAACATGTAACAAAACTAATGATTTTTTTATGATTTTGTATACTGCAACTTTGGCTAATTTATTAGTTCTAATATTTTTTGTAGAGTCTTTGAGGTTTTCTCTGTAGAATATGTCATCTACAAACAGTGAAATCATCATGCCAATATTGATGTCTTTTATTTCTTTCTCTTATCAAATTGCTCTAGCTAGGACCTGCAACACTGTGTTCAATGAAAATCGTAAAAGTGAACATTCTTGTCTTCTTCCAGAGTTTTGAAAGAAAACTTACATCTCTTGCCCTGATAGGATGATGCAACTAATTGGCTTATTGTATGTGAAGATAAGGTCCTTCCATGCTTAATATTTTCATCAGAATTTTCTCATGAAAAGAATTGAATTTTGTTATACACCTTTTCCTTGTTCATTTTGTTGATCGTATGGTTCTTTTTTACTTCATCCTATTGATGTGGTAGATTCTATGTGTGATTTGCATATAATGAACTAACCTCACATCTCTGAATGAAAACCACATGAACATGGCAAATATAATCTTGTTGATACACTCTTGTATTCATTTTGTTAGTCATTTATTGAGACTTTATCTGTATTCCTCAAGGGAACTTTAACTTCACCTCTTTCTCTTTTTATTGTGTCTTTATGGTTTGGTACTAGATAGTATTGACTTCAAACAGAAGCTTTGGAATAATTTCTCTTTTTCAATATTTTGAAAGAATTGACGTAATTCTATAAATGTCTGGAGGGACTCAGTAGCGAAACATGCGATTTTCTTTCATAGAAGACTTTTTGTTAATGATTGAATCTCAGTAATTATTATTCATCTGTTCAGATTTTCTATTTCAGTGTGATTCAATCTTGGTAAGATCTGTTTCTTCTAGGTTATAGTTTTCTGGGCTATATTTGTTCCAAATAAGCTCTAAAGATTTATTGTATGTTTTGCTGTCAGA